TAGACCAAATACCCCGCTAGGCACGCATAGGACCCAGAGACATAACGGGGACGACTTCGAAGTATGTGTCACGTTCCTCGCACGCGAATCGAGAACACAGGCGCTGTGCATCGTAGCTGGACACTCAGGAACATCCTCCCAGCCACGATGAGGCGGTAAAGCGTTGGGAAGATGGTCATTACTACAACAAAATTTCGGGTTTCTGAAAACAAAACTCCTGTTGTCTTTCCTAGGGTGTTTTCCAGAATTACATATATGTTTATTGTGTAGGTATGGTATTGCTGGCGCGACGAATGTGCAGGGTGAAGAGGTGAAGAAACTGGATGTACTATCAAATGAGCTTGTGATCAACATGTTGAAGTCCAGTTACACAACATGTGCGCTTCTATCGGAGGAAAACGAGGAGCTCATTGAGGTTCCTTTGTAAACGCATGGATTTGGCAACAAATATTAATTTTCTGCTATTTTTTCATGTCGAAAAAAACAAACGAGGTCATTATGTTGTGACATTTGATCCCCTTGATGGCTCTTCGAATATCGACTGTTTGATATCAATTGGAACAATTTTTGGAATTTATAGGAAGGTGGGAAATATTAATTTATTTTCATATTTAAAAGGACGTGTTTCGCAGTGATTTGAGGTGCACTGCAGTGCACAGTAGATCCGTTGTTGGACTACACGTACCAGGAAAACCAAGTTTTCCATGAGTCGGTTTATTGAGGATCAGACTTGTGACTGTAAAACTACTGACAACTAGATCGGAGGACCATTGAACTCATTGTATAGAGCATGTGTGCTTTCATTCATTACTGCGGTGCTATGAAAGCAGTCAGATGTTTGTATCTCTGAGAGAAACAACCTTGCGTGCTTTCGTTATGAAAAGTAACCCAAAATGGGAAAGAACCAGTAGTGCGGTCTTATATCCTGACTGGAAAAAGGGATAAATATATAGAATATATGCTGACTATGGATTACAAAATTGGGTAGAACAAAGGTATAGCTCGTTTTATGGAGTTAATGGGGTATTAAGCGTTCGATTTGATAGCAATTATTATGTAATATTTTGTTACTTCACGGACACAAGAAGACCAAGAGCAGCAGCAGGATTTGCAACAATAACACCAACAACAACGACAACAACAACGTTTAAAGTAGATCGCTTTGCAGAAGAGTGAAGGTGACGTTACATTGGATGATGTACTGAGACCAGGCAGAGAGATGGTGGCTGCTGGGTATGCGCTATATGGATCAGCGACAATGGTTGTTCTGACCACTGGTAACGGTGTTAACGGATTCACTCTCGATCCGGTGTGTTTATTCAAATGTTTTATTTCCTAGCATTATTTCTTTTCATTATTTTCTCAGTAGATTTTTATGTACCTCTAATCACTTTCTGGTTACATTTACATTTAGTTGCACAACGCTTACCGAGGGTTCTAATGTAAGGGAAAATTTTTGGTTTGCCATTTTCAAATGGATTTCTGACAAATGTGGTTTGTCCTTGTGACCTAAACTCTCAACAAATATTTTGTTTTAGGCTATTGGCGAATTTATTCTCACTCATCCTAATATGAAGTGCAAATCAAAAGGTTCCATATATTCGATCAATGAAGGATACGCATCAACTTGGAGCAAAGGAATAGCGGAGTATATTCGCACACGAAAAGAAGACCAGCCAGGAAGGAAGGTAATTCTTAGGGAATTATGTGACACTGAGATGCTAACTTTGCTTGCATTTGTTGTATAAAAGATGAGATAAGAAATTTTGAAGCAAGTAGAGAGTGGTATTCGCTAGCGCTGGCGTGCTCGTTATCAGAAATTTTAGTTAGTTACTTTGCACCCAAAGAGGCATTAGACAAGATTTATTTTCCACTGTACGCCGCAATAAAGCTACATGTAGAGCAGTGGGTAGAGGTACCCTCTTGTACACACGTGGTTTTGGTTCAGTCCATCAAACCACTAAATTGGTATCTGGGAAGATAAAACTCGTATCGATAGGCCACCGCAAGTCATTGTATAGATCAAGCGTGTATTCAGTCAGCTCTACGGTCGCCAGAGCAGGCGAGTGCATGGCGCACTGTCAAGCAGTTGAGCAGCAGCAGTCCACCCCTTACACCTTATTTTTTTTATCATTCTGGTCTACAAAGTTTATTTCAGGCTATGGGTCAAAGATACGTCGGATCAATGGTGGCTGATGTTCATCGAACACTATTGAATGGCGGCATCTTTCTATATCCCGCGACTGCAAGCTCACCGAATGGCAAAGTAAGAATAACAGAATTCATAAAATAATTCCATTTACCGGAGGTCTATTAAGATTTTGCGGTAGCGATGAATGAAGAAGACATTGACAGACATTCATTGTCAAACCACTGCTTTAAAGCAAATTGAACATTTTTTTGGTTCTTGATCAGAGGTTTAGCTAAGAGGTGACCGTCATGCTAGTATTTTTTATTACTTTCTGAACATTCTTTAGCTCCGAAATGACACAGAAAGTTTTCACATTGTGGTAAAGAACACAGAATGTGAGGGCCAACTTATTCAGGGTTTATTTACCCGAGTACTAGTGGAGTGATTGAAATATTCTTCTTCATATTAATATATTTTGCCCATATCCTCCTTGAGTGGTATTGCCACCACCGGTACAGCAAAATTTGGGACGGTACAGAATGGCAAAAAGTATTTGCAACGACTAGTGGTCCAGGACTACTATGGAGACTATCCACGTTTTTGCTTGGCCAAAACGAGAGTCTTTTCAACAGATGCTAATTATCAATTCTGGTCCTTTTGTAGCGGCTTCTAGTCATTAGGGACAATAAGTAATGTATTTAGAGGAGAACAGGAGTAGGTAGACGATCACTTTTTTGTTTAGAATTTTCCAGCACGAATTTGCTTTGGCGTGGCGCTAGCGAAGAAATAATGGGAATTTTCTTATTTTTCATATCTTTTATTCTTTAAAGCACTAGCTTTACAGCTACGGCTTCTTTACGAATGTAATCCGATGGCGATGATCCTGGAACAAGCCGGTGGCTTAGCGACTACAGGAAAAATGCGCATACTGGACGTTGTTCCAAAAAAGGTCTGGGAAAACGTTAGAGAAATTGAATTAAAAAAATAAAAATAAAGAATAAAAAAATATAAAAAAGAGAAATAAAAAAAGAAGTTCATATTTTAGCGTATATCTAACTATGTACATATCCACATATCTAACTTCATTTAGATTGTTTTCAATGTGGTGGTAGCTGATTTCAGATTCACGAACGTTCGCCGATTATTCTTGGTTCGAAGGATGACGTCAATGAAGCCATAGAATTTATTAAAAAATTTGATTCTTAGACATTCATTTTTGAGAACTATGTTTTCAGTGGCACTATGTCTTCTTGTTGTCTGTATAGATTCTCGATTTCTTATAAGATTGTTTTAAAGGAAGATTAACACGAACGAGGCCATGATCGTATTTTGTTTGTTCGATTGTTCTGTTGTTTGATAAACGGACCTCAGTAATGAAAAGGGAAGAAGTAGAGCGATTTTTGGCCACCCAAAGGCTAATACTTCATTGTTATGGAGTGGACCAATTTGTTCTGTGCTGAGGAAATTATTCGGATACTAATGCTCTTTATTTCATTTGATAAAGTTCATTGTAAGCTATGCGTGCCTAATCTTGAAAAGCCAAATTATTTTGCCCATATTGGGAGATACAAGAGCCAATGAGCTGAAGAAGGAATCATATAACCGGTTTTCAAACATTTTCATAGTGCAGGACTTTCGAGGATCACAGTGAATTCTAAAAGACTTCTATTAATAGAAAAAAGTGAGACAAAAATAAAAATAATGTTGCTGAAGAAACAGCATATATTTGGAGATAGTAATAAAAACGACAAAACTTGATAACTAGGGTTAGAACAGTTTTATTCAATAAGGGAGGTCCCTCAGTCTGATTTTAATCATTTAAACTAAGCAGGAAGCAGTTTCAGCGTTACAGATAGATACCTTCGTCCATCGAATAGTCAGTATGAGCAAGATCTTGGGCAGTATTACGAATGTAGGAATTGGATTGAAAAGTTCAGGAGATTAGAGGCACTACTGAGTTAGCTGAACTGACTTGGCTTATTTCATGTGGGACTGTATAGAGTTCGACATCTTCATCACTGATACTTGTTGCTGCTGGTGCGTCTTTCTCTTTCGACCGATCACTTACCAATAACTCTTCCACACCTTCTAACCAGTATGTAAGAAGCGTTCCGATGCCCTGATATAACGTTAACGTTTGCAGAACTACGAATAGTATTGATAAAAATTACAACATATAGATTACTAAGCGTACTGCTCGACATAGCACAAAGAAAAAGAAAAGAAAAAAGAAAAAATATCGGATTTGCCATTCTAACAATCTTCGAGAATCTTAGGCGGAACAATGAAGCATTAATTTGTTCGTGTCGCGCAACAGGGTTACACGAAAGCCCTGTTAATTTGGAAGCACACAAAGGACTTTCGACTTCTCATTTGAAGCCTTCTAGTTTCATAGTTTTTACGAAGAGAGACCATTAGTAACTTATAATGCAATGATATGACATAGATTGCCAGTTTTCAGGTCTTCTGGATGAAAATGTTAAACTCCTACAAAACTCGGGTGATCATATTGCACAGTGACGATTCCGTCAAATACCCATGGGTTGCAATATTGTGGTAGGCCCTCATGGGTTAGGATTGGCATGACCAGTTTTTGGAACATTTCAAAAATCATGTCACTGTTATGCAAGAAACAAGTCTTTTTGTTCTAGCTTGGTAAACCTCCATAAACGAACGTTTCCTTACGAACTAGGCGAGGGATCTGCAGCCAGTTAGTGCTAAAGCTAAGCGGGAAGTAAGATTTCGTCGTAGAACAGCCCATTCATTTCATCCGTTATTGAAATAGAAGATGTTTCTTACTAAAGCTAAAGCTTCTTGTTAGAGTGATAAAATTCTAATAATATTGGGGTAGTAACCGGCCAACCATTACGTAAGTAATCGAACCTAATAACCAATACCATTCGGTCATTTTTAAAAAATGTAATAAATATGTAGATAGTTTATAGATGGTTTTCTACCGTAAAAATTTCATGATTTTGCTAAATGTTATTACCTGTGGAGTTTAGAAAAGAAAAACGAAGACAATGCTGTACAAAATGATCCAAATCAATTCTTATATGTCATAAACGCAGTAGTCTTAACCCACATCGATTTTAACGCTGCCTCTTGAGGTGCATTTGAATTCCGGAAATCGAGCCGATAACATTTGATGACTCTTCAAAGTCATTTGTATTCGATCCGGCAATCCAGAGTTTTCCATTTTTGCAGCAATAGTGACCTAAAAATTCTTAATTGATCTTTTCAAAATACCAGTCCATTCAGAATCGCCCCTTATCTGTAGCTTTTCAAGATTTACTGTTACTGTTTAAAAGATTTTCATTGACCTTAGTAGTGTGATTGCAGTTTTAGTAAAAGAAAAAAAAAACGAAGATGAACGGCATGAGAAAAAGATTGAACTACAAAGTTTCTTTCCATTGTATTATTGGATTTTATTGGATTCTTCCCACCGGCTTACCGCCTCACCATTGCTGGAGGTGTTCCTGGGTGTCGGACTGCGATGTACAGCGGGGCCATTGATCCCCCTGGCAGGGTTTCCCAGGCTGAGAAGGAGTTCGGCGTTTCCATCAGGAAGCTTAGCTAAGAGGCGGCAAGTCCCCCTCTGATCCACAAAGGTTGCGATTGCCCGTGGTGGTGAAGACCTGGGACGGAATTTGGCCAGGTTGACCTCGGCATTCCAGGGAACCACAATGGATTAACCCCACAAATCTTCGAAAATTGGTGATTATGCTGTGGCCCGCACATCCAGTGAGGATGGGCCGTTGAAGTATCACGTAAGTATGTATTAACCTTTTTATTTACTGCCTACTTTTTTTTAATGGCAGGGTATGCTACAAAATATAACTTCTATGATGCTGAGATATTTGCAAAACTCTGGACCGCAGATGTCTATGGTGGGGAACGAACACGCTACTACCCTTTCCGGAGGCTAACGCGTTCACCACCACACCATGTGGGTCCCAGATCGATCCTGCCCATGGATGATTGGTGATGGCAGTGTTCGATAGAACTAGCTGAGATACAGGCGAAACGAAGGACCCGCAAGGTATGGTGGTGAATGCGTTATCCTCCGGAAAGGGTAATAACGCATTCGTTCCCTACCGCATACAGCTGCGGTCCGGAGTTTTGCAAATATCTCAGCATCATAGAAATATGTATTATCGGATTATATAATTAGTGCTGGCCTAAGAAAAACAGTATTGTACCGCATAAGCAACTCAATTAGCAGGGAATGAATAAGTAGATACTCCTAAATTAGCCGACTAAATGTCTTAGTAAAATGTGAAAGCATAGAAGAGTTATCAAAAAAAAAATTTTTTTTAGCACTGATAACATCGGTAAACTTTAACCTGAACTCGAAAGACCGACTTTCTACAAACCTCGGCATAGAAAGTTGATATATTTATTTATATGATCTTATAAACTGATCTTCTTAAGCTAAAGTAAGGTTGGTACAGGTCTTTGTTGTCGTTGTCGTTGTTGTTGTTGTTGATGTTGTTGGTCGATGGCTGACGTTTCGGCAACTTCGCCTTCCTCAGAGCCGTGATGTTACGTGTGGAACTCCCAACAGCATCAACAACAAGGACAGCGACCACGACAACGAAGACCTGTACCAACTTCGCGTCAGCTTAAGAAGATCAGTTTATAAGATCATATAAATAAATTTAGCGTGAACGTTATTTGCTACTCGATGTGGTCACAGGCTGTTCTCAATTATATTGTGGCAAACAGTTTAAGAAAAGTCAGTCCAATGAAAAGATTGCACGTGGTATAAAAATCATGTAGATGAAACTTACTGTTGGACCGAAAACGGAGTAGCGAGGTGCTCGAATCCCTACAACGCCAGTGAATACTGGACCAGTATTAAATCCCCAGCGGCAGTGAAGATATTGGCCACGCCGATGTGGTATCATGAAGTCGTACAGGAACTGCAATTGGTCTTTCCATCGATTTTTTCTCCACCGTACATTGGACTATCTTGAAATTATTAGGTGCTGGATGAAGAAGAGGAGGTCGCATGGATGAACACACATTTGTAGAAGTAAAAGCCAAATGGTACAGTAACGATTTCTTGGATAGTTCCTGTTTTCTATATTTCCTTTTAGGCTATATGTAAAGGCAATTCTCCACAAACAACAGGTGTTTTCTGTATCTGTATGCACATTCCTTATAGTTTCAGCAAATTGTTTCTTTGTGACCATCTCGTGCACTTGCTTTGCATCTGGTGGCAGAAAAAAGCTTCTGTAATCTTTTGTAAGAACAGTTCGCCTTTGCCCAGCAGTTAGAGGACTAAATGAGCCGCTGCCAACTGTATGTACTTTCTCTCATTTGCCGTTCCACGATCAAATGAGTTTTCTGGAGAACTACACATCTGCATTTGCACAAACATTAGCTAAGACTTGGTTACGCCCCATGATTTGCATGGACTTAGAATAATGTTAATTCACTTTCACACTTTTGCATCAGTGACATCTTGAAGTCACTGCCAATCTTCATGTAAGCGCTATGCAATGTTAATCTAATAACTCTCAAGTACATACGCTATTCCTATATGTGCTATCCTCATCGCACCTTATTACAATCACACATGCGCATTGTAACATATGAATCTCATAACGGTCTGCTGTAATCTATATCACATTTGCATATCATATGACTCCACGAACCTATGAGGAACTGCGCTTTTGTCTCAAGGATCACCTCTAGCTCATCATATTGCTCTCGCTTATTCACCGCTACTATTGCCTTGTCGCTTGTATTATTTCAACACTGGCATGTAATTGTTGTTGTATTAATATTGTCATAAGTAACCTAATTACCCAAGTTTGCGATTGTGTTGTGTGGTAACGTCAAAAAGTCCCGCGCGGCAACTCGTACAAAGTCGTGCATTCTTCGAGCTAGTGGTTATCTGGTGTCAGGATTGACTCGAAGACCTATATCCTACTGACCGACTAATACATATGGAAAGAAAAACGGGATTCGGTGAATATAGGAAGGTTTGTCAACTGCTCTTATCCACATAGGCTAAGCAAAGCGTTTTGGTGAAATATTTTGGTTCAGCCTGATGTATGCGATACTGCTATTGTTTCCATAGATGTGTATCCTGAAAGTATTCTCAACACACACAAGTTGAATTATGTCCTACTTTTCTGCACTTCACAGAAGCATTGGCTGAAATAAGGTTCATCTCCATAACGCATACCACTTTGTGTTTTAAGCCTAAGAAATCTCACTGTGAAAAGCGTAGGTGCTACCTCTGTTGCAGACCTATTTTCTTTTGAACATTCCTACTTCTGCAATAATTCATCTCACAAGCACGCTTGTAATCATATCAGAATCTAGTCAGGTCGCCGGCAACTTCAGAAAAATATCGGAATCCGACGACATCAAACACGCTTTCCTTGTTACAAACATACAGGTGCTATCTTATAATAATAATGTGATCTGTAATAAATGTAGTAAGACGTTATAACAACAATCTTACATTGTGAAAACGTTTTACTTGCTGTCGTTGGGAGTATCTCAGAATTGTAGGTAAAGAAAGAGATGCAGGGAACTACAGAATCGTGAAAACATTTTGGCATATGGAAATAAAGGTGGAATCGCTTTAGAGGAACGTTCCAATATGCTTCGCGAAATGGTGCACTGCCTTATCGCGGTGTATTTGACGATCCATTTGCTGTATAGAGCGATGATTCAACCGTCCAATAGGATCTCAGAAGCTGTCCGATTCGAAATTTCTTATCGAAGTTTCAGCTAAGAGTGAATTAGTCCAAGAAATCATCGTCATCATGCTAGCAACCCAGTCACAAGGTAACACTTTTAGTCCACAAGGGCGAGTAAGTGTGACTAGCGATCCGTTTGGAAAAACGATGGAATGGCCTTCTCGATTTGCAGTGAACAAAATCAACAAAATCAATTTTTTACAAGAAAATTTCCAGTCAACAGAATTTCTTTTAAAGTCGAAATGATTTCCGGTGAAGGCGGGTTAGCGAAGTATTCAAGTAATGCATCTCATGGCTAGAAATTTCTTGGAAAACATCAAACGCCGACAAGCGCGACGTTTTCAAGGTAGGGCTTTGGGATAACCTGACTACGCTCCATCAAAGAAGACTTTAGTTTGCACATTGGCTATGATATCTTTGAACACTGGTGTTGGATAACAACCTCAAAATTTAAAAAAAATGTAAGTCAAAGAGAGATATGAAGTGCTGTCTTCACACGAGCACAGGCAGTGAATAAAATATTTATGAATATTCAAAATCTTCTATGAACCACTTCAAGTTTTCTCCTCAACATTTCGTAACAATATTAGAAAAATACTTGCCTCCTTTAATACGTAGCTCAGATTGTGGTGCCTACTACCAAAATTGCCTCTCTAGATACACTTTAGATGACAAGACAAACGAGAAGACTACGAAGCAAAAACGTGTGGAAAAATCACCGCGATCCTTACGAGTATTAATTTCACAAGATGATGTCAGGAGAAAAGAATGAATTTATCAGAGAAAGGCTCCAACCCACTTTTTGACGAAGGAATCGCCATCAGATTTGTTCTTCACGGAAGCTTCATTTATGATCAAGTGCTGTTTCGATGGAAAACGGCGCGAATCAGATTGAAACCCATGGAAGACTTTTGCGAAATTCTAGAGATCATCATAGATTTTATCTTCTCAATCTGCACAATCACAACATCATTGCGAGAAGCCTATCGGTAGAAGTTGGGTAGCAGGAATGGCTTCGAAGAAAATATACTGCTTGCTATTTCGGCATACTTAACAATCTAAACGTGACTTACCACGACCACATACCGAACTAACCGCTAGTAATGAGAGAACAAAACAAATGTGCGGTGCTGAACTTTTTTCTTTCAGAAAATTACTCACCTCTCTTTGAAGTAAGGCGATGGTGGCGATGTTAGAAACGTGTTCAGTTTTACTCGGATTTGGAATACCAGAAGCTACACAGTATGCGTCGCCAATAGTCTCCATCTGAAACGTGGGTTTCCAGCAACTATTTCGTATAGAAGGCTTGATAACACGATGACGATAATTGCCTTGCTATTTTCTATGGATAGATGGCAAATCAATAAGCATGCACTAAACTACACTTATGTTTAAATCGAAAGAATGTCCATGATCTATCGTCACAAACCTTATATCCGTTGTGAACACTGATTATATAATCAAACTTCTGGAACACGCCGCTCAGCAATGCGACTACCTTGAATATAACTGAATCACTACCTCTTTTTATCCGAATAATTTGAAGTTATGATATCGTCCGGTTAAAATAACCTCCATTGGTTCAGATTCCGAACAGAGTGACGTGAAACCGACAATATCAGAATAAAGTATGGAAGCTGATTTATAGTTTTTTGCTTCAACTCTTCTTCCAACTTTCAGTTCTTCAGCCACCGACCTCAAATATTTTCTCAATCAGTAAGTTGCTCTTCTTTCGTCGAATTTGAAAACATAAATCGTTGATATAGAAAAAAGGCACGATGAACGCAAAGTCATAGAAACAAAGTCATAAAGAAAACCAATGTCTAGTTGAAGGAAAGTAGTAGAATACTTCGGTAGTAGTTCCGACAGTAACTCATCCGCTTTTTGTTGAGCTTCTTCAAGCAGACCAGTTCGACGCTTGACCAACTCTTCTAGTCCATTCGTGTATTCCTCCATGTTTTTGATCATTTGATCGACGAGTGAGCCAGACCTTTAAGCAGTACAATATATAGCGAAGGATTTTAGCGTTGTTACGGTAGCAAGCCTAACGGAAGACTCAAGAAATTGAATACCATTCAAGCGTTTACTTCACAAAGAGAGGCATGCCTTTTTTATCAAATATTGCAGTGACTTATATTACCATTTTTGACTATTCTCCTCTAAAAAATTTATTAAAAATATTTCGACAACCATATTTGACTATCATCTTTAATCTTTAGGCATAGTCTTAAAAAGTCATTATGATAAATAAGCTTACATACATTTTCAATGTGGCATCGGTGATTTTTCGAGCGCGACTGATGTCTGGGCGGTTTTTCTAAAAGGTAATTTCTTCATTATTCTATGGAAGGAAAAGATCAGCTCTATGAAGCATAGTGGTTCCAGAAACGGAGATAAAACGAGCAAAAGTTGGTTTCAATACGTGAATCAAGAAAAGGGTACCAAAGTTAGCGTAGTAAATTGATGAAGATGCTGATTCTAAGGCGAACTCACTGCATTGTCCCAGCATTTCTGGATAAGGCCGAGAAGATCGGCGTGAATCTCACGATCCTCAGGCACTACAGGTGAGTGGTTCTGGAGAATGATGTCAGCTTTTTCGCATATTAAGACATCATCTTCACCTAAGATTAGATAGAAGATAAAGATCGAACTTTAACGACTGGGGTATATATGTCGCAATAGAGAGTAGTCCATTCATAAGTTTATGTAGCTATAATTGTTTTATATCAAAGTAAAAATGTGACATTATTGCTCTGCTTCGTCTAGTGAAAAACAGTCTAGAAGCGAAGGGTAGGGCGATCAACAGTACAACAACAGCCAGTGAAAAATAGGTAGTCAGGTTTTTGTAGAGGAATGTTTTGAATAAATGTCCAGTTGATGTGTCGTTTTCTTGCTCAGCAATCGCGAGGTTTTTAAACAGCATACATTTACTTCCATAGAAAAACACAATACAATACAACGCTAGCTGACGTTTCGGCAGTATCGCCTTCTTCAGAGCCTGGAAGGGTATACTGATATACAATCTACTAGGCCAAACGCTTCAATAACACTTACAAAAAGACGAAAGACTCTTTGGTAATTACATGATCAACAACTTCTCGAAAAAACCCACCGCTTTTTTCGTGACTTCCAATGAGGAAGTTTAGAACAGCTGATTATAGTCGCATGTGGTTGACGACTCCCAATGATCCCAATGGTTGATCCCAATGAATAGCAGGGACGAATGCCCGGAGGTCATACGCGACCTTATCCCGTATGTTCGCATCGAATTTTGATGTGGGATGGTGCAGTCGTCAACCACATGCGACTATAATCAGCTGTTCTAAACTTCCTCATTGGAAGTCACGAAAAAAGCGGTGGGTTTTTTCGAGAAGTTGTTGATCATGTAATTACCAAAGAGTCTTTCGTCTTTGTGTAAGTGTTATTGAAGCGTTTGGCCTAGTAGATTGTATGTCAGTATACCCTTCCAGGCTCTGAAGAAGGCGATACTGCCGAAACGTCAGCTAGCGTTGTATTGTATTGTGTTTTCTTTATGGAAGTAAATGTATGCTGTTTAAAAACCTCGCGATTGCTGAACAGGAAAACGACACATTCATATTCCAATGCCGAGGTTAATAGAAAGTCGATCCTGGGAACTGTCCAGTTGATGTCATTACTATGTTAAGGGACGACAAATTTTGAGAGGATGGTCTTCGTTTTGTTTCTATGAACTGTTTTATTTTTTCTTTTGAGAGTATTCTTCAGAACAAGGCACAATAACTTTACCAGCAGACTTCTCAAGCCTATGGCTAAGCTTGAGGAGAACACATACAATCGGATCTTTGAGGTATAGATGCTTGTATCTAATTGGCTGCGCTTCCTAAAGCGTCCAAGATATGCGCAGTAGGACAATGAAGTGTAAAAGCTATCAAAAACTCAGCAGTAACTTGAGGAATGGGAGAGGTATGATCCTTTGCTGTTTAAATGTTTCCATTTTGAACACAGTGTGAAGCCACATAGATGCAAAAAGCATCGCCACCTTATTCGTTACGTCAAACTCGAAGGGCTTTAACCTTGGTGCTGTTTAGTCCCAGCTATACTTGAAAAAAAAACTTGAAATGTTGTTCTGGGGCTGGGATGCTCCCGCGTTGACTAGAGTTGCGAAACATCAAAGACTTGAATCAAGCTCTGTAATAACATTTCATCACATTTGATTCAGAATCGACGGGACGTTGTATTCGAACAAGCGTTGGTGAGTTCGCTTCGTAGTGGATCCATTCTGAGCCGGCTATTATATCTTGTTGTTGTACGTCCATTCTCCTCCATTACTTGTAAATCAAAGATCTCTTCTACGTATAATTATTGCATTTTCAGCCACTTGAGATGGGTTGGAGTTAGATCAAACACTAATTTCCTACAGTACGAACAACTCGCTACTGATGGAGGAGTTGCGGTCCGTAGTTTGGTTGCAGTTCTTGTTTTATTAAACCCATAACCAGGGCGTACGCAGCAATTGTTTAATTTCATCCTCACAAGCAACGTATTTCTGCATAGCTCTCTTGGTCCTCGGCGTTCGCCAGTAGACCGGGGTTTACTGCTTTGCAAGTGGGTTTCGATGAGGTTGTCTGAAATACCTGCAAAGGTTATGCTCTCAGCTGGTCTTATATACCCTACTAATTTCCAAATTGGGTTACTCCGAGAGGAGATGAACACACATTTATACATTGCTGTGGGACACCCAGAAAAAGTACCTTGAAGGTGATACAGTTCTGATAAGGTTGTTGTATGTGCCTTAATAGTTAGGGACCTTCAGTGTAGGAAAATATTGCTTCAAGATCCGTGCAATTTTTTAAAACTCAATCAAAATATAACATAGAAACAAGTTAAGCGAACGAAATAAGCTCACAGTCATAGTGATCGTCCAATTCGAAGTATTTCCGTTTGAAAAGAATCTCAAACAATATCGTTCCAAAAGACCACATGTCAGCTGCCTATAAAGGGAATTAGGTACCAGCTATTCGAATATGAAAAGGATAAAGCTCTCGGCGTTGATCAATCCTTGAGGGATATGCCATGGATTCTACTTCATTAAGCATCGTTGGAGGTCATTAAATGCACATCTGGCCTTTACAATGACTCGTGGTGGCCTGCCGATGTATCGCGCCAGTGCTGCTATCTTCCCAGACAAGTCTGGTACAAATTGGCGACCCCGAAGGGATGGAAGGCTTAGTGGACCATGGGTGCGGAGACCGATTCCGCATGTGCGTTGCAGGACGCCTCCGACTACTACGCCATACGCGCTGAGTTACTCGAATATAAAGTAATCTTATTAGGTGCGACATAAATCGTGATCTACGGTAAATCGACACAAAAAACTAAAAATAAAAAGTACAACAAGAGCCTTTACCTTCCCAGCCGTATTTGTTAGGTGAAGGCTTTCAAACTTGTTCGTGAACTTATGTGCTCGAAGCCCAGCTCGAACTTCTGGGGCAAAATAGTGAAGATCTAAAGAAGTCAAAAAGTGGCGCATTTAAAATCTCAGAAGTGAAACATATGGACAAATTTGCTGTTTCTAGGTCAATATCCGAGATTTCTAGTGAAATTGTTCTTGGGCAAGATTGCCCCAGATTCAGAGGTAATAGCAGGAAAGTAGCACTGGTCATTTGCATATTCAACAATGCCTGATATAAATAGGAAAGAAATTTTATAATTTTTTGCCTAAACGATAAAGTGGATGAGGCGCATTGTGATAATCACTCTCCCAACGTTGAGCCATGCATTCCATTACATTCGTAGAGGGGATTGCATGCATATTGACCTTATACAATGAGTTGACCTAACCATATCTCAAATCAACGTTTTCCAACCACTTAACTTTCGCAGCAGTTTCGGGAACGCGAAGTATGGGATGCTTGGTTAACCCGGCGCACAGGATCGAACCACGGTAACGTTCATCACAAGGCACTTCTAACCATTGCGTCAGTATCAGTTTTAAACGTTAAAACCTTATGAAACCTTCCGACCTGCGTTTGGAATGAAAGGTTCTTCTGATCCAATAACACCAGAGCTTTTCATTCGAAACAGCATTCGAGATAGACCATAACCAGATATCTAAATGTGAGAATAAGATGAAAAAGTGTGGAAAAACAAACACTTTTAGGGAAGAGAAAACCTTTAAAATCCAATGCGAATCAATCAAACACTGGCTGACAGTCAACGCTCCATGGTAACCGACTGACGAATTGTGGATATAATCGAGGCCCTAAACATCTAGCTACACCTACTGCAAAACCTCCTATAATATTAGAAAGTAAATGGAGAGAATGGAAACATGTTCAAAATCAGGCGGAAATTTGTGAAGTTATGCTGGTTCTTCACATAATAGAGACTCCTGAGAAATACTCTATGTGGATAAAAAACTGCGTAATTTCACTAATACTGATTTCGCTCCGCTTTAAGGTCCTTCTTTTTCTCGGCCGTTAGGTAATTTGAGCGGACAACAAGAATTAGCTCGTGTTTGGTGTGAGCAAAAATAATAACGAACCTCAAGTATTACACCCACTCATAGCTTTTTTCTTCCTCTTAGATTAATTAACCAAGTACCGAGTTTTCTTAAAAACAAGTTAAATGCTCATCATTTAAGAAAATAACCTTCAATATATCCCTTACAAATGCTCCTCGAAAATTATTTTCGAATGTTGCTCTTTCGTCTTTTCGGCCGAATATCTGATCACCAAGAGAGCCACTGGAAGTGAATGTCGGTTAACGTGAAGCTAGGTTAGAGTGCTTAGTAACGAAAATTCAAAGATATTCATTTTTTATAAGTACTATAATCAAATAAATGAGTAGAATGGTAAATCTCATTTTTTATTATAAATGTAAAGCGAGAGCACCACAGCAGTTTCAGATGTCACGCTCTCTAGTTAGCCTACATCAAAGGCACCAAGACTTCTATCTCTTCCAGGTCAACAAATTGGTAGGAGACTTGCCTACGAAAGAGCTCGTTTTGATCGCTATTGGTGAATGCTTGTGGAAAGAGTAGAGATATCCCAGATTTCGGAAGAGAACCAACATGGCCTACATTCGACGACATTCTTGAAAAAAAAAAGCCTGAGGCAGCAACAAACTCCCAATGAAATAAGACCTTCGTGGATGATAGATGCAAAAGGACACTCTGGAAAAAGAAAGCATTGGGGCACACATAGAAGGTCGGAACGCAGTTTATAAAAAACGTAAAAACGTTTGGCGTTGATGATTCCCCAAGAGATGCGTTGTGCAATCGACTTCATTAAGCATCGCTGAAGGTGACTGAACCATATCTTTTCAATAAAATGCTCATAGTTGGCTTACAGGTATATCAAGCTTGTGCTGCTCTCTTTCCAAGCAAATCTGGTAGCAATTTTGAGACCTCGGTGGTGTGGAAGGCATGGTGCATCCTGGACGTAGGATAGGACAACCCAAATGTATAACGGAAGGCACCTCTAATCACTGCGCTTCACTAGTACCATGTATTATATATGCATGTTCATATATATGTATATAGATATGTTGGATTTTTTGAGGTCGTCTAGCCAATATTTTACACCTAATCGCGCACTTATGCAATCTCTGATGAGTGAAAAATATTGAAAGTCGGCTTGTTACAAATTGCTGATGAGTTGGCTAGCTGTTCGCTGCGTCGCTTTAAGAACAGCATTGTGATATGAAGCCCTCTTATTGGACACTTAGAAGATTGATGAAATGGGTAGACGAAACTGCGCCATAACCGAATTTAGAGGAATTGCAACCTAATTTGTAAATATAAATCTGAGTTGTTTCACATAATCTTACTCCGCCCCGCTCATTACCCAAAATGTTAATGCGGCTGAAGTCTTTTTCAGCATTTGGTGTTTGCTCCTCATCCTACTTAACCACTGCATTAAAGATAGAGATTAAAGATGCCCTTCAGTGCCAATTATTTTATATTTCACAATGTGAACTTTTTATTTACTGCCTGTTACAATTTTTCACAGCAGGTTATCATCTATGACTAAACCACAGTGATGCTGAGATATTTGCAAAACTGCGGTGGGGAACGAACGCGCTATTGTCCTTTCCGGGGAGAAACGCATTCACCACCACACCATGCGGGTTGTTCGCTTTCGGAGTTTTGAAAATATATCAGCATCATTGTGGCTGTAATACACATGATAGTCTCCGTGAAAAATTGTAATAAGCAGTATATAAAAACGTTACATTAAAATTTTAGCTTTAACAAATTTGGATAGGTAACGAATATCGCGTGACTGAGACATTTTGCAACTTTTCCTTTAAGGACCAATGCAAATTGAGATCACTGCAGGTAGGAATAAATGGAACTTTAAAATCATCATCACCGGAAGCAGTGTGTCCATAGGACGTAAAGGTGAGTGCTGTCAAATGAAAGCCCTATAAAGGAATTGATGTTTTCGTGATTGAAGTGTTTGATCTGAAAAAAATTAAGTTAGAAAATCTATAATGCTGCTGAAAACCGGAAATAGTAAAGCTTACTAGGTAGCACCTAAAAATTATAGAGATGAAAAAAATTTGTTTCTTTCTTTTTTTTGCTTTTTCTTTTTGTTCCATGTTACGATTTTCTACCATATACCACTGCGTGCCCAAATATTAACTCTTTGAGCAAAGAAATGAAAGAAAAGTAGGATTTTAACCAGTCATGAACTTGAATATTCAGTGGAATATTTGGTTGCTTAATTGCTCTAACTTTTGTCGAGTAGAAAATTTTTTTTATGCTTAATACCTTAAGGAGAAGGTCGACATCCTGTTTGAAGAACACCAAACGTTCCTTCAAGGTGATTGTCTCAATGAGAACATAGGTTTGATTGAGCGTGGCGAGTTGGAAATTTCTAAGGAAATCTCTCATTTTCACCTAAACATTCATAGTAACGACAGGATGCACTGTATATCACACAAGCACTGCAGCCTTGTAGTGGTAGAGTTTAAAAACAAAGAAAAGATAAAAAAGTTGGTGGGACTAAAATGCTTTAGTTCTAGAGTGGGTAAGTTTCGTTCAAAATCTGGGAAACTATCGCAGCTGTGCAGCAATATGTGTGTTAAGAGAAAGGAATTACCTTTCTAAAACGGTTTAGAATACGACGTTACATATCAATATGAAGGTTGATTACATCTGTCTTCTTTACCGATTTACTGCCTCACCGTAGCAAGGTGGTAAAATATATAGGTTGAGTCAAGATGCCGAACTGCGGTATAAAGTCAGATATTCAGCTAATCGAGCTGAGATATAGTACCATATTTCTACATAAAAACCAGCTAACGCAACCGAAGGTTATTTTATGAGCTGATAGAAAATTACTCCTAAGACGGCTACCCTTTCCGAAAGCCAGCATCCACAAGTTGTGATGACCACTTAAGGACGCAAGGTTGATGTTGCATCGTGATCTGTGTGACCAAGTAACAATGAACCCATCCTTGCACTCAGTGCTTTAAATCCATTCTTTGTAACATATCGGTCTTCTATTTATTTTCAACTCTAGTACTATAAAACGTATTCACCACACGCCACAAACTTTTTTTTTAATGTTTTGCGTGTTGCCAAACGGAAGCGCAATTCTCTGCCGTTGATACTACAGTTCTTCTCGAAACAGGCTTGCCTTCAGGCATGTCGAAGTAGTCCAGAGGGAAGAACATTGAACTACGCCATATTCAGTAAATAGTGTGACTCCACGAAATATCGATAGTGTTAGTCCATTCGTTCTGACCATCGCCCATCATCAAATCGAGCTAGAAGAGACGCACATCTCCCTCTTCGGCTTATCCTTCACCAAGGTACATGAACGGCATTGTTATACTCGTAATGCTTAATGCTAACTAAGAGGTTCGCAAGCGCAGAGCAAGCCAGATGCGTTGAGCTACCTGTAACGAAAGGTTCTTCTAAAAAAAGAACTGCGGATGACTTTAACACTAGAGCAAAATTGGTTACTGGAACAGAAAGCAGCAGAATCAAAAAGTTTGAATTTAAAAAAAGGACACAGTTTTAGTGAGATTCGATCGACGATACACATTCTCTCGAACCCCCGAGACCCACTAATTCTTCGGAAGAAAGCATATCCTTTGTGCATATTGAAATCCCCAGTGGCACAATCATTACTACAACGACCTTTCAAAAAGACAGTGATTCTGCTCAAAGTAATGGTACAGTAATATATGCTAAGAACATCTAATAAGATGCGTCTATCGACATGCACAAGTTTTAGAGAACAACGTTATCAAGGAGCAATTTTCCGCTCGCCTCAGCGACAAACTCAGCCATGTCATGTCGACCTCCCTTCAGAGGCAGTCAACCATGTCGGCCTCGTCTTAAAGGAAGATTCAGCCATGTCCACTTCGCCTAATAGGCAGACCAGACAATGTGCGAATTCGTCTCTCTCGTGTAAAAAAGGAGCTCGGCTTTCATTGATTACACAACGAAAGGGCTTTCCCAAAGAAAAAATATTGGGATGGCTGCTGGTGATTATTTATTATTATTATTTATTA